TATTAATGGATGTTTGCAGCTGTTTCTCCTCAATTTGAGTCATACCATGTCAGCACATGGACATATTGAAAGACTTACTTTATCCATATTATTAAGGTTGGTTCTGCTCTATTGAAGCAACTCTTTCCCAGTCCTATTTTGAGTGCCTTCCAACCCAAGGGGTTAGTTTTCCTGCACTTTGTTGGACAATGTTTCCAAGCTATTCATAAAGTTGCTCAGTAATGTATCAGAGAATGTTCCTCTGCTATTCATAAGGTTTTCTCTGGCCAGTTTTTGAGAACAGTATGGGTTCTTCTTTCTTCCTAGTCTGTGTTAGTCTGTAAGCTGCATTGAAACCTGTGCACCATGTGAACTCTGCCGGTGTCCGAAACATCAGTGGCATAGCCTCAAGCCTCACAGCAACGTACAAGCCTCACAGGATGACAAACTAAAAGACAAGTTTGTCTCCCTTAGATGTTGGTATATATATACATATATATATGCATGTATATATATATGTTATGCATATATATATATACATCAAAAAAAGCAAGAGAACAAAAACTCAAACCACATAAATAAATGGAACAATCATAAAAAAAAGTGTAATGCAATAAGTGAAGAGAGAAATTTTCAAAATACATTTGAAAAGAATAAAGGATTATTACAAATAAAGGCCCTGGGATACATTCTGGGTCTGGAATAAAACTCATTCCAGGGGGCTGGCTCTCAGCCCAATAGTAAACAAGATGTACACACAGACCCCTCAACCCAGGGTGGCGCATCCACATACTCTATGGAAATGCATCCCTTGGAACGATTGACCATGGGGCACCAGAGGGGCAACATTCACACGAGGAGATGCACACATCCATGTTCCAATTATTAATGGATGTTTGCAGCTGTTATGCAGAAGTGCATAACTATGAGGGGCATGGGGGAAGGGGATGTTACTGGACAGGGAGGGGAGAAGACTGGGTTAGGGTTGGGGATGGTAAATCAGGAGTGAAGCTAAATGTACATGAAAAATATAGAAAAAAAAAGAGGAAAAAAAAAAGAATAAAGAAAAGATGAGAAAATGGAAGGGAAAAAGCCACATTATCTGGAGAAGAAGAAATGAGAGAAAAGAGCAAAAGTAAAAGAACAGTAAAGAAAAAAATGGGAAAACAGCAAAAGGACAAACAAGGGGTTGGAAGAACCAAAAGAATGAAAAAAAAAAGGTGGGGGGGGGGATTACTGGGAAAGAGAAGACAAAAAAAGGAAGACAGGAGGAAGATAAAAACAATAATTTGAAAAACAAAAAATCAAAACCAAAACTGTTGGGGGGCAGGGTACAGCACCCATGCTCTGTCAAGGCATAGACCAGGAGGGAATTCCTGCTAGTCAAGAAGGAGGTTGGAGGCAGGGGATGGCCACACCTCTGTTCACCAAGAGTGTGTGGGGTATAAGAGTAACAAGGGGAATATAGTACCTTTCCAGTCATTAGCCTCCAGTGCTGCTGCCTTGCTGTCTTTGGAAATGGAACCCACTCCTATGGTGCTGGCCAGGTAAGAATGCCACTTGTATATATTCAGTCTGGTGGCCCCTGCCACCTGCTGATATTCAAAATGGCTGCACCCTCAGGACACCCTCTGGCAGTTCACAGTCTGTTTTTCTCCTTTTTCCCTATTTTCCCTTCTGGTTGTGATGCAGCAAGGCAGTCCTTGCCCATGCAGTCTTTAGTGAGCAGAGCCAATTATTAGATTGCTACCAGGATATAATCAACATGGCAGGGCCCTCAGGACAGTTGGTAGTCCACAGCTCCATTTGTCTCCTTAGCCACTTCTTCTACTGTTGTTGTTATTATGTGCCCTCGAGTCAGACCCGACTCATAGTGACCCCTCCTTGGGTTTCCAAGGCAGTATCACTATGGAAGTAGATTGCCCCATCTTCCTTCTGAGGAGTGGCTGGTGGGTTTGAACTGCCAGACTTCTGATTAGCAGTCAAGTGCCTTAGGCACTATGCTACCAGAGCTCCCTTTCTTCTACTACTTGGTGTTTAATCCACTTCTGTATCCTTGCTTTCAAAGCTCAGTGTTCCAGTATTGTCTTCTGCATCGGTTTCAATTGGTTTTTCATTGCTTTGTTGCAGCCTGTGCTGTTTATTTGGCTATTCTGTCATCTTGCCAGAACTCTCTGCATCATAAAAGTCTTGATTTTCATAGTCTTCATGTTGAGTATGCTGAGGAGGAGGAGGAAGGGTAGGGGTTGGTTGTCCTATCTCAGGAGTAGCAGAGGTGGAGGAGGTGGAAAGGGAGGCAGGAGGCAGGCACACTCAGTGAAACTACAGAACTACACTGTAATTTCTGTCTGAATTTTTTTGCTTTTTCATTTCTCTAAATATGTTTCTATGTGGTACCAGTCCTTTTTCCATCTTTTGCTTTAGTGTCAGTGCTTGTACCATAGATGGATCCATGTCATGAAAGAAATCAAAAGTAGTCTCAGATAATTGGAATCCTTCTGCCAGATTGTCTAATGTCAACTTGTTTTCTGGCACTGCTACTACATCTTCTTCCTCATCATCTGGCACTGGTTTGGAAGCACTCATCTCCATCAAGTCATCCCGCCAATTCCTCTGGTGTGGTGTCTGTTAGCTTTTGAATTTCTCATCTGTATCTTGAAAAATAAATCTGCATATAAGGCCACCCATGCAGTTCAAACCCAAGTTATTCAAAGGGCAATTGTACGTTATTCCTAAAGTTTAAGTCAATATTTTATATACTCCCATAATACCTAATACATACATTTTTCTTTCTTAAACAAAAAGTAACATCCTGTACACATTGATCTGCATCTTAGTTTTTATCACTTAACATCTCCTGGAAATACTCCACATTAGTCCATATTTCTCATTCTTTTTTATGGGTATGTGATATTTAATAGAATGTGGATCTCAGATCATTTTAATCACAGAATTCTTCCAAAATTTGTAGAACATAATATCCAAGATCCATAAATCATTCAATAGCAAGGAAAAATATCTCATATTAGTCAATTGATTTTTAAATTTAATATAAAATGTGAGAAAGGGAACATACTTATACAAATATCACCTGTGAATATTAATGCGAAAAGCTTTAAAAAGTGCTAATAACTCAATTTCCAACTGTCCAGAAAATTGGAATACTAGTTTTAATATTAGGTCATCTGTAACATAGTATATATCATTAGTAAGAGGCCTAAGAAAAAACTTCATGTTATTAACTGTTAAAAGATAGTCAATAAAATCCAACATTTCAATTATGAGTAGGAATAAAATGATAATTAATAACAATATATTCCCAAAGACAGTTAGTCATCTAACTGGTGAATGAAAGGTAAAAATATAAAATATATGTTATGGGAAAGTATAATGGAGAAGGCCACATTCATACTAACAATAAAAACTAATACAAGCTACTTAATAATTTCTAAATTTGTAAGTTTTATATAAAAACAGAAAATTGAATGAGAAAAAGAAGTATAAATGTTATAAAGATATAATTCCTGAGATGCTTAATAGCTTTAATGTCATTGCAATCACAACTTCAACCAAAGTTCTTTTTTTCCAAACTTGTCAAAGTTATTTAAAAATTTAACCAGAAGGACTAATATACAGGAAAGAAGAAAGCAAAAGTTGAAAAGAAGAGAGCTGTGGGAAGTTGCTTTGCCAGATATTAAAGTTTATTTTCAGAATGCCATACTTCAGCAATGTGGTACTTCTGCAAGAATTGAAAATCAAATGGAATCTAATACAGTACCTTGAGATAGACCATGATACATGTGTATATATATGAAATTAATAAGTTATTAAGATAATATTACCAATGAGTGGTGCACTTAAGGCTTATTTAATAAAAGATGCTGGTACAGAGAGTTAATTATTTAGAGAAAACCAAAGTTAGATCTTCACCCCTGTGAAACAAAAATTACATGTAAAAATTAATTAAGTGAAACCTGTGAAAGCCAGAACTCAAAGGAACTATTCTGTTTTTCCAGGTCTTACACATTTTCCATCTTTGACAGAGTGTATATAGTTTTACTAGTTTTCTATTGCTTGTTTTAGTGAAAAATATTTGAGTGTGCCTTCTGTAGCAGGTTTCTTCCTTATGCAAGTTTCTGCTTCCACAGAATGTACTGTATATATGACATCCACAGACTTGTCTATTTGCTAAATATACTCAAGGTGTTTGTGTGAAAAGAGGAACGAAAAAAAATTTCAGCTTAATTGGACAAACCTGTCTCCATAGTAGCTCATTCACTGTTCACTGGAACTTTATAGAGCATAATTGCAAACAATGAGAATCAATTGTATATATTAAACAAATATTGTTATTGTTATTGTTATGTGCCCTCGAGTCGAACCTGACTTATAGCAACCCCTCCTTGGGTTTCCGAGTCAGTATCCCTACAGAAGAATGAATATTTATCAAGTCTTTGGATAACATAGATTTTTTTTTTTTTTGAGATTCACTTTTAAAAAATCACATTCCATAAATAAAATTGAAAGGCAAACAACAAACTGGGTACTGATTCTCAGCAGATATTGTAGTCAAATGTATAAGTGTATTTGATGTCCTTCGCAAATGGTTTATACCTGACTATTAACCTAAAGCTTGGTGGTCCAAACCTACCCAGTGATGCTGGCAGCAGAAAGCCCTGTGATCTGCTTCTGGGAAGATTACAGCCTAGGAAACCCTAGGGAACAATTTTCTCTGTAACACACAAGGTTACCATGAGACAGAATCGACTCAAGGGTAACAAAGTTGGATTTTTGGTTTGAGTGTGTTTGTGTGTGTGGGAGAGTGAGAGAGAGAGAGAGAATATATACCAGTCATAAAACACTGAGACTATTCTAGGAAAAGAGGCAAAGGGGAAATCAGTTTGTTCACAAAATGAAACTTTAAATTAGTAATAATTATATTTTGTAAATGTCCAACTTCTCAAAAATTGAAAATGAAGGACAAATAAAATCAACCACAAGGCACTACATCTATCGATTACATTGGAAAGCTCTTGAGTGGTGGTGAGTGTGGGAAGAAGAGCACACCCCCAGACTGCCGTGGGAGCATCGGCTGGCACTGCATTTTCAGAAATCAGTTTGGCATTAAAAACTCTTAACCTTGAGAATATTTATACCCTTTAGTTATTATTATAGATGATGGGGATTTATTAGAAGTAAATAAATACAAAAAAATTTAAAAAGGAAAGATTGAGTCATAAAAATGTGCTAGTTATATTGCTAAAATATTAAAAATAATATGTATATGTAAATAAATAGCATAGGGATCAATGGTATTATCTTAATGGTAAGACCAAAATAAACTATACATAGATTTTGTGTCCAAAATGACTAATGGCCAAGTGATCTGACAATATACTGGACAGACAACTGATGATTACAGAGAAGTTCAAATAAAGTACTGAAAGAATGTGGTTATCACAGTATGTGGAAAGACAGGTAACTCCAACAGCAACTGTATCCATGAGGTGAGAGGCAAACAGGTTTCGTTAAACATCATTTGTCACCTTAATGTTGTTATATAAATTTTATGTACCTTGTAAATTTCTTTCAGATTACATTATAGGTGCTCTAACTTATGTCATATTTAGACTGTTTAATATTTGTGCATACTTAATGGACAATACAATAAAAATAATGAGAGATGCAAATGGATTAAGCAAGTTTGGAAAATATTTTTGATTTGTTGCTGCATTGTTAACTTGATTTACATATCCTTCAGGGAGTGTTAGAAGTAGATGCTATAGTAATTGGGTATATCTTTTATAGTTTATTAAGTGGAGCTCTGGTAGCATAGTGCCTAAGGCACTTGACTGCTAACCAGAACACTGGTGGTTCAAACCCACCAGCCACTCCTCCGAAGGAAGATGGGGCAATCTACTTCCATAGTGATACTGCCTAGGAAACCCATGGAGGGGTCACTATGAGTCCGGTCCAACTCGATGGCACATAACAACAACAACAACAAGTGTTTTACTGAATAGGATGTTTGAAATCATCTCATTTTTTATTTATTGTCCATAAAACCTTAGCAAAAAAACCAAACTCACTGCCATTAAGTTGATTCCTACTCATAATAACCCCCACTGGGTTTCCAAGACTGTAAATTTTTATAGGAAGCAAGACTGAGCAATCTACTTCCATAAGGATTTATCACCTTAGAAACCCAATAGGAGTCGCTATGAGTTGGAATCAACTCAATGGCAGTGGGTTTTTGTTAAATCTTCATAGAAGCAGACTGCTTCATTTTTCTTCCATGGAGCAACTGGTGGGTTCGAACCACCAACCTTTTGGTTAGCAGCCAAATGCCTTAACCACTATACTGCCAGAGCTCTTTATGCATTAAACCTTAGGTAAATAATTGTCTTTTACACTATTATTTTTATAGAAAAATTCCATTTCACTAATTTAATTTTAATTTGTACTTACTTTTTCTATAGAGCTTTTTGTAAGCAAAAGAAGTTCCTCAATTTGCTTGACACCAGTATGGCATTATAATATGTGGTATAATATACATAGATGAGATAATACGGTCCCACATCTTGCCCAGTTATTTGTCTATTTTTTTTTTCCATGTAGCCTGCAGTATAATTTAGATCCCAGATGTTACTACCAAATTATCCCTTGATACTTTAATAAGCATGTAGAGATGTATGAACTGGTAGTGTGTGCATGTAAGTATGTGTGTGTGTGTATATATGTATACCCCCTAGAAAAAGGTAAAAGCCAACTCCTGGCACAGGCTAAATGGGCAACCATCTCATAATCCAGATCTAACTTCACTCTGGCCCTCATAACTTTAGTTATCTGTCATACTCCTAACTCTTGCTAAGAACAAATGTCCAGAGAGGGTGGTGAGAGGCCAAAGTGTTAAGTTTAAATATGGCAAGGGAATGAGAACACAATTATCACAGTCCCCTAATAAAACTCACTTCAATGAGGAATATTGCTATGGTGATACTGTCTTCTGACCTTCTAGGATCTTCTACCGAAAGCTTGTAGACATAATGCAAGGTTTCTACAAACTGTGGAAAGTGATATTCACCGAGTGTCCTGTAAAGAAGAACAAGGTGCTGAGTTAGCAAAGAAGAAGAAACAGGTTCTGCATAAGCAGATGTTGATAGTGGTAAAGAAAGAATCATTATTCTCATCTCTTGCTCCATCCAGATACAAAGAAAAAATTTCATAATGAAGGTAAGCCATAGCCCCACTTTGAATCCTGCACAGATACTGGGGAATTATATATACCTGGATCCTTGACATTATCTCCTTTCTTAATGTCACTCCTCTTTCCTATTGCCCCCATCCTTCACCACAGAATAGAATGTACTGCATTATTGCAAGTTCCCAATGATTACTCCAAAAGTAAGAGAAAATAAATATCTAGTGTTCAATCCCAGATGGCTGTGCAGGTCATCTTTGTGATTTTGGACCAAAACCATCCTTTGAGTGGTATAATTCAGAATAGCTGGCAAGTTTGGTACTACCTTGGGTCACTCAGGAGAAGAGAAGGGGGATTCTGCATAACACATTGGGCAGTGGCCAGGCTTACAATTGTCTGGATGCTGACTACTTGGGTCAGATTGGGAAGGATAATGTGATAGAAATTCCATTACAAGACTCTAGCTTGATATTCTAAGCCAGTACTTCTCAAACTTTAATATCCATACAGATCACCTGGGGATCTTGCTAAATTTTAGATTCTGAATCCGAAGGTCTGTGGTGGGGCCTGAATTTTTAACAAGCCCTAAGGAGATGCCATTGCTGCTGGTCTGTGGACCATGCTTTGAGTAAGAGAAATTTCAAAGGTACAAAAAGTAGAGTGGCTCTTAACTAGTGATCATTTGCGGGGTAGAGATATGCCCCACTTTTGCACAATAAGGTATGCTTCTGTAGTGTTTGTGCAAATCAGATGCCATCTTTAAACACTGAGAATACAGAGACTATATAGATTATGCTTTCAGGGTCAGTCACAACTTTAAATGGGTTCTTGTGTTGTCAAGGTCATGTACCTTGATACTTGATCAGAAAATCTGATTCCTGTAATCAAGAGCTTGCTAGTCAATAAAAGACTAACTAGAAAGCCTCTATTCTAATACAGGCATACCTTGGGGATATTGCAGGTTTGATTCTAAAACACCACAATAAAGTGAATGTTGCAATTAAATGAGTCACAATAATTTTTTGGCTTCCCAATACATATAAAAGTTATGTTTACACTACACTGTGGTCTATTAAGTATACAACAGCATTATTAAAAGGAAGCTTGAAATCTTGTGTGAATTACCAAAATGTGACACAGAAACCTGAAGCTGGACAGATGGTGCCAATCGAATTGCTCATTATAAGGGCTGTCACAAAACTTCAATTGGTAAAAAAATGCAGAATCTGGGAAGTGCAATAAAGTTGTACTATGCTTCAACAATAAAATGAAGTATGTCTGTATAAGAAAAATAAAAATACTTTTCCATTATGCTTTCCCAAGTTTATCTGGCTCATTGATATCAGGTTCTTATCAGACCTCTAAACTTGGAGCACATCTATAGTTGTCTGATGCCTGCAGGACAGGGATCAGTTAAAAGCAGAGGGGAAAAAAAAGTTGACTTATCTTTGGTCCTCCATCTGAAAGAGAAACCTATTTTGTGGAGGGAGGAAAATGGGGTCTCTGTATCATTGGGTAAAAGGGGAGAGAAAGGGAAGAACTCCCAAAGTAAAAACCCCTCAAAATCTTTAAAGAAGTAGAAATCAAATGGAAACTCAGTTCATTGAGAGCAATTTGAGAGTTGAGCACACAATTTAATGATGAAAGATGGTTTAACTGAAGAAACATGGAGACATGTGATGGAGGCTGAGAAGCCTATGCAGAGCCCTCTGTTCTTACTTGGCAACAAGGTAGACCCCATGAGGGTAAAACAGCATGTGGGAAAACTGGCTCCAGCACCTCTTTTTCTGAAGAGCATTGTCTACCTCTTGCAGGTCAGAACATTTCAGCAGGGTTCTCAGGGCATCTCTGGCAAAGCTAAGGCCCAAAAGGAAAACACAGTCATGATGTCAGTGACCCTCACATAACTGAGTACACATGACCTGCCTTTTGATCTTGGGCAGGATGCAGGTTTTGAGAAAGGGGAAGTGTCATAGAAAGTGAGTACTAAATACTCTTCATATCCCTGGATTAACAAATAGTACATGGAGTAGGGCAGTAGAAGCATAAGGGTTATTGAAATTGCAGCATGGGAAAATCTAGGGTTAAACACAGAAAACTTATTAGAAAGAGATGTTAAATGATGGGATGACTTGTTAAGGGTGTCTATCAATTTTCTTCTTTGACTGCCTTAAATATGTAGGATTATACCCATCTAGGTGGAATGATATTGAGTATGTCTGCTTGGGGAGTCAGAGTGGATTAAACAATAGTTCTGATTGATTGACTGTGTCTTAGAAGTCCACACCAGACAAGGAGACATAACAGAGATTTTTCTGGAGAGCAGAGAAGTCTCCTTTACTCACTTGAGCAAGGGGAAAAGATAGGCTCTCCCAGCCCCTTCTCACTCTACTACAGAATGACTGTGTGCTATCATAAATCCACAGTTCATATCACCAACCACACAAAAGCTTTACAGTTCACAAAGCACACAACTGCACACTGTTTTATCTGACACATACAATAGCCAATGGAGGTTTCTATTGGAGAATAGTGGCAGAGCTGGAATGTGTCTGGCTTTGCATCTAATGTTTCTCCCTGTTCTCTCTCCCTTCAGTAGCCTTTCACTAATCTGGCAGTGAATGGGACAGGAATAAATATAGTTCCATAGCAATTGTTCTTACACTGCCTCCACTGGTGATCCTAACTAACTTCTAGGTGCTCAGCATAATTACTTTTCTGAAGGCATTTTACCCTTCAGAGGAGAGAAAATGGTGATGCATAAGGGTATTGCACATAAGATTATGAAGACTTCCATGTGAACTCAGGGGAATTAGAAAAGTTGATGTCTAGAAGCTTATCTCTTATTCAATCTGAAGTAACCACCACTGTCTCACAACGGCCTGTAACTTTTGGTCAGTCTCAGGTCACTGCTGTAGCAGACTTGAAGCATGAGGGCCATCAAGAGCTGGGGGAAGAACTGGGCCACTGCTTTCCTGTAAGAACTAGCAGGCAGCAAAGTGCACAAGGCTTGGGAAGCCTGTAAGGAAAGGAAAGAGGAGATAAGAATGTGAACTCTGAAAGTCTCTGTTCCCATCTCCCTCTACATTCAGTTAGCCTCATTGAGGGGGAAGAAGTAGGGAATTCTGCAACCTTTCCTCCAGTTTCCTTGAAGGAAGCCTGAAGCTTAAAACTGAAAGCATGCCTATGCATTCATTCATTCAACACCATTTATTAAGTCAGTTTCAGACTGAGAACTGCCAAGTCATTAATGGCAAGGGTTGCAAAGCTCTATAAATAACCCCTAGGATACCAAACTCATGGGAAGCAAGCTGTAAATGCTGTCGAGTTTCCATGGAGGGCATACATTCCAAGATCCCCTTGACAAATGGCCATGAAAACCGAAAGCAGTAACCAGTTGTCGTTAAGGTGATTCTGACTCATGGTGTATGTCAGAGTAGAATTGTACTCCATAGGGTTTTCAATGGCTGTGTTTTATGGAAGTAAATTGCCAGGCATTCTTCAACAGTGATTCTGAATAGACTCGAATGTCCAACAGTTTGGTTAGGAGCTGAGTGTGTTAACTGTTTTGTACCACCTGGGGACTCTGCCATGAAGACTTAATCCTGATAATAATGTAGGTCCTCTCTGTGCTGAAGACTATATAAGACAGTGAGATATTAGGAGGAAGCAGGCCAAGTCACTAACAGATCATTTGGCCCACTGACCACAGCAATACCCACCACGTCCCAACATCTCCCATTTGTGGAGCATCATATATATATTCTTCTATTATGTCTCTGTAAGAGCTCAATTTATACCCAAGAGTGATAATATTTGTCCTTGGGAGATATATTATGATGAACAAAATGTTAGGTCTTCACATGCCTACAAACTCTATCTGATCAAGCCCATGGTTACCTCACTGATATCATCTTCTAGTCTTTTGTCCTTCCTCAGTTGACTCCAGATTCTTTGGCCTCCTTGCATTCACTGACATACCAGGTAATCTTCCATTCAGTGCAGGGATTATTCCTTCTATCTATAAAGCTGTTGCCCTAATGATTGCCTAGATCACTCCTTTACCTCATGAGGTCTCTGATCAAATGTCCCTCATCAGGAAAACCTGTCCTGACCAATTTACTGATACTTTCCCTGTCACTCTTTCTCCCACACCACTTTACTTTTCTCTTCAAAGCTTTTTATCATCCAGCATATTACAGATTGAGTTGTTCATTGTCTGTGTCTCTCACCAAAAAGCAAATTTCATGATTAGGGCCTGGCACATAGTTGGCATTTAATAAATATATATTGGATGAATGAATGAGAGCAGGACTGGACTAAGGCAATATAAATGAGTCTGTGGACAGATGGGGGTTTTCTGATGAAAAAATAATATTGAGGAAAAGCAGCACTTGTCACATTATTTACCGCCACAGGCATCATGTTAGTAGCATCCAGAGAGAGACGTCTTCTTCCTGTTGAGCTGTCAAGCATCTCCCCAGGCTTTCCTTTCAGTATTAGCAAGAGTGTATTCAGCACGTGAGGGGCCACACTTGCTTCAGAACCGGCGGCAAGCCACATCATTAACAGAGTGCTGCAAATACAGCCCCCAACAATGACAGTCATAAGTTTTTTTCATTTCCTACCCAATATAGTGACATGAATCAGTAAAAGATCCTTGGTTTCACATTTTTATAGAGCAAAGGCTGCAGAAAATTCTAAAACAAATTAATATTCCTTTTTCAATGGTTCCATGAATCTTGTCTTTGAAATGAGAGGAAGAATTTAAATAAGAGCTTAAAGAAAATACAGTCTGCAAGTTCATTTCCTGCTGCTATTTAAATGCCTGTCCAGGCCAATGTCAAGAACTGATTAGCTCCTGTTCCATGTGACCTTGTTTCTCCAGGGAAAATAACCAAAAAACCAACCGACTGCCAATGAAGTTGATTCCAACTCATAGAGATCCTATAGGACAAAGTAGGACTGCCCCATAAGGTTTCCAAGGCTATAAATCTCTATGGAAACAGACTGGTTCATCTTTCTCCCACGGAGTGGCTGGTGGGTTTGAACTGCCAACTCTTTGCTTAGAAGCTGAGTGCTTTAACCACTGTGCCACCAGAGCTCTCATCCAGGGATAATAGAGTGTTTAAAAACAGACATGGGAATATAAATTAATATATAAATCAATACAAAAATAAAAAACTAAAAACATTAGAGATACATTACTTTTGTATTTTCCTAAAACAAAATCATGTGTGTGTGTGTGTTTATATATGTTATATATATATAATAAAATTGTCAATGAAGAATAAAAGATATAGGAAGAATTATTCATTAAATCATTCTGTTGTTGTGTTGCTCTTATGTGCCGTCGAGTTGGCTATGACTCAGAGTGACCCTAGGTACAACAGAATGAAACATGGCCTGGTCCTGTGTCATCATCACGATATTTGCTATGCTTGAGCCCATTGTTGCAACCACTATGTCAGTCCATCTTGCTGAGGGTCTTCTCCATTTTCGTTGACCCTCTACTTGACCAATCATGATCTCTTTCTCCAGGGACCCATTCCAAGTCATTTTAGAAATTGATAGTGCGATTACTTTTAATGTAGTTATCACTCGCTGATTGGCACCCTTACCTGAGCTGTGACTTGACATAAGTTGCTGAAACAAACTCTTTTATTAGGCTGACAGTCATTAGGTGACTTGTAGCCTCAAAATGTAGCGGCTTTCTCTTAACATCACAGATGTTGTTCATGATGTTGCATCTTCTCTCAACTTCTGTTAAGGTCTGAATTCTGATTTCTATTATACTGAGTTTTTCATGTAGTCAACATAAACTTTTATGAACTAATAAATAATTATCATAAATTATTATAAATAAAGTATATTGTGAAGTAATTCTCAAAAATTATTTATTATGGACACTGGGAAGAGGTAACTAAGAGGAAGTGGGAGGGGAGCTGTTGCATTGTGGTAAACTGTGGTCAATGTCATGAGACAAAGTATGTGTAAACTGCTACATGGAAAGTGAATTTGCTCTGTAAATCTTCACCAAAATCACAATAATAAAAAATTATTTATTATAATGCCATATTTAAATAGATAGATGCATTCAGGCTATTAAAAAGGTGGCAAAAGTAGGTAGGACAAGGCTGGACTCTGAGTTCTGTCACTTAACTTTTAAATAATCTTTCTTTTCTTCAGTGTTTTCATCTATAGAGTGTGGGAAATGATGCTACAGTGTTCAAATGAATTAGCATATATTTAGATCAGTTTCTGGCTCACAGCACACAGTCTGTGGACATTAACTGTACTTTTTATAACTACTATTAATTTGTTGGGAGCTCTGGTGGCATAGTGCCTAAGGCATTTGACTGCTAACCAGAAGG